GGGGAGATCCCGCACCCATCCTCAGCCGCATCGGCGTCAACCGGGGGATCGCTCTCACGAATCCCCGGGGGGGGGGCTGCACCCACCGAGCCCCCCCTCCGCTCCGGGGGGATGTCATGGACCCCCGCTCAACCATTGAGCGGCCCCTTTAAGTGAAGCCCCGCCCACCGCCGCCATTACCCCCCTCGGCCCCGCCTCCCCGCCCGCACCGTGGGCGCTGCCATTTTGGAGGCGCTGGTCACGTGGTGCGACACCACACCCCGCCCGTCGCCATATTGGCGCCTTTCCTCCGTCACGTGACTGCAGCAGGCCCCGCCCCTGCTGAGGCGAGGCTGGGGGCCGCCATATTGGAGCCGGGAAAGGGGGAATTTGGGGGGTACCTGAGGGGTCTGTGGGACGGGATTGGGGGTTTCTAGCGGGGTCTGGGGGCCTGCAGGGCAGGATTGAGGGGTGCTGGCGTTCTGTAGAGTAGGATGAGGAGATTCTGGGGGTGCCTGGGAGGTCTCTGAGGCATCCTGGGGACACCTGAGTGTCTGTAGGGCAGGATTGGGGGACCCTGAGGGGGGTCTTTGCGGCAGGTTGCGACATCTTGAGGGGCTACAGGGCAGGACTGGGGGTGCTGGGGCACCTCGGGGGGGGTCTGTGAGGCAGAAAGGGGCAGCTGGGGGCTCCTGAGGGACTATGGGCAGGATTGGGGGTGTCACGGGACACCTGGGGGAGCTCTGTGGGGCATCTTGGGGGCACCTGAGATCTGTAGAACAAGCTGGGAGTGCTGGGGGGGGGCTGTGGGGCAGGATGGGGCACCTGGAGGGTCTAAAGGGCAGCATTGGGGGGGTTATAGGGCACCTGGGGGGTCTACAGTACAAGATGAGGGGAGGTCTTGGGGTGACCCGAGGGGTCTGTAGGTTCTGGGGGTCCCCAGAGGGTCTGTGAGGTGACAATCCCAGGAATGTTGTGTCAGGGGCAGAACGGGAGGGTCCCAGCCCAGCTGAGCCCACCCTGGCACCAGCTCAGCCGGGGGGGCCGGGACAGGGTCTGGGGGAGCCCCTCCACTTCTCCCCTTCTCTGCAGGTCCCCTTGTCCTGCTCGGTGTCCCCCTGAATGTCCCCCCCCCGTGACTGGCCACATGTCCCACAGCGTCCCCCCCGCAACACTTGTCACCCCAGTGTCTCCCCCGGGCTGTTCCCCACTGTCCATCTCGAGTGTTCCCCCTCCCCATTG